TGTGTGTATATATATATATATATATATATATATATATATATATATATATACACATACAATCTCCCTAGTGACTCCGGTGTATGGTGTGTATACAGCTGTGTTTGGGAGGAATAAGGAGTGGAGCAATGGAGTGGAACTACACCCGGAAGAGGAGAGCAGGTGAGGAGGAGCAAGGTCAGCAGGCAAGAGAACAGAAAAGAACCGAATCGTAGAAACGAACGCAGTCACGGCTTCTCCCGGTCGGGCTCCTTCTGTAGGATTTATCGCTGGCGTCTGAACTCGGCTGGGGAGTCAGATGCGTAACATCTACAGTAACGAGAGCACCTTCCCCGGACCATCTGTTGTTTGTGAAGACATATGGTGCCATGAAACGTGGCTGATTGGCTTCTGCCAGTGCCTTGCCCTTTAGAAACTACCTTCTCAGTGAGTGGTTCGGGAACAATTATGTTTCAATCACTGCTGCCATTCACAGCCATACCCCTTCAGCTTGTTATCCCCCTCAAAGCCTCTACAGCCTCTCTAATAGTGAGAGGAATGTTCCGGAAGACAGCTAAGGGTTGACGTCAGCAGCGGGAAGTCTCTGCTGAGCGTTCTGCTGTCTCTGTACAGCTTGCATCTCCTACTCTGTTATACATAGTGTAATTTCCGCACGCTTGTTAGCATTTCCGCTAATCTACCCCCATGATGGATGGATGGCTAATGTTTGCAGTTTTATAAGAGGCTGTCGCTACACTAACCCCCCGGTAAACATCAAGCGGTGTGTCGTGTGCCTGTGCTGATATGTCTTGAGGGATTTTGCTGCATGGCTATACCTCAGCTTTGTTTATTTGTCCAAGCGCATGAACTGAGGCAGCACAGTGGCTTAGCGCTTGCGTTGTCACCTTACACCATCAGGGTTGGGGGTTCGAAACCTGATTCTGCTCTGTTTGCTTCTGTGTTCACGTGAGGTTCCTTCCAGAGTCCATTGCTGTTAGATGAGATGTTGTCTTTGAATTGCTCATATTGTATTTGCCCTGTGATGTATTGCATGCAGGGTGTCCCCCTGCCTTGTGTCCTGTGATGGACTGGCATCCCGTCCAGGGTGTTCCCCTGCCCCCCGAGGATGGGTTCCTGGGCCCCCCTGACCCTGTATCTCCTAAGTTGCTGGTTGGATAGATGGCTAGACCCCCACCTAGGTTTAAGTTCAAACACCAATAACTCACTCTGGTAACAGTGGCATATTAGTACTGCTTGCTGATGGTATCCACTCGTTCTTTATCTTTTTAGGTTGGGTTCATAAGTCAGCAGGGTGGATAAGGCTTACCACCATGTGTTGAGGGCAATCAGATCCTTTCCAAGTTTTGGTGACCATTGGGATCTTTGACATGTTTTTTCAACCTTTGACCTCGGGGGCACCATTGAGTCTCTGTTCAGTATGTCTCAGTGTATACAGTAAGTTGTTCTTGTGGTTTAGTCCACCTGAACCAGACACTAAAGCAAGGGTGGCAAACTCGATCCACAGAGAGCCGCCGTGGGTGCGGGTTTTTGGTATGACCTCTCAGTCATCCAATAACAGATGGTCCACAGGACTGGAGTTGAGAACCACTGCTTTACTATTGGCTGATTGAGAGGCCATCCCAAAGACCCGCACCCACAGCAGCTCTCCATGGATCAGGTTCGCCACCCCTGCACTAAAGTGTCTATAAACGTTTCTGAGCCTGTTCTCTGTCTCAAACACGGTAATGCTGCTTTCATAACAAGTCCAAGCGAGACAGGGCCAGTGTGGAGGTCGTGGAAATGGGTGCATCACAGCAGCCTGTGATAGGTGACAGTATCAGGGTGGGGTCGCTCCCACCACCTGTTCCTTCATGGTGTTTGTATGGGTGTATTTATATGGGATCTGGTTTAACAGACCACACCAAGATAAGTGAAGCCAGTCTCAATATTATTCTGCTTTCATTCCTGTAATGACTGTATATCAGCACATCCAGCTTCTTCCCCTGACATCCCCATCGGCTTGATCCAACGCTCCCTGGAAAGAGACAGCATGTAGTAATGATCTATTGCTCACAATCGAGAATTACATGGTTCTGAGGTCCCGACCTGCCAGGCCTTCCGCAGCCCAGAACTACCAGCTACCCTGTTGGCTTTGGGTTTGATTAACCAGGTCACCTAGCTGAAGGGACAATTCTCTCTGAACTGGGTTTGGGGAGGGGGGTGTCCATCTCTAGCATGGGGCAACAATGGCTGCAATTATTTGTGTTGATTTATTAAATCTAATTCTCACGAAAGGGTGTGTATTACTTCTGCACTACACACTGTTTCCGGGACATGAATAAGGGCGGGCCCACTGGGCCCACCTGAAAGCTGATTGGCTACCGCAGTGCCCCTTCCTCTGTCACTCATCAATTAAAAATATATAATTGGCTAATGATAATGTTGGTCCCTCTGTGTGCCTTCACTGCACCGCACAGTACTATACACCGCCTCACGCTGCCCTCGGCCCCTCCATTCATGTGATGGAGTGTCACCTAATTGCACTCTGTGCAGATCACGGCCTCTGTAGCAGCTAAATCACTCCTTGATCTCTCGCTCCTGCATGTGACGCAGTCTGACAAGAAGCTAATATGAATTAATGGGGTTGTAATTCTCTGGGGGGGGGGGGGGGGGCATGTCAGGAAGCCGGTTGATGCTGCCTGCCGACAGTCTATACCTCGGCGCGTGAAGCGAATGTCGGGTGCTGTAATCTAGCCGGCGAGTCCGGTGTGTCTAGTCAGCACCTAACATAGTTAAAGCTCTTGTCACCTGGTGTTATATGTCTGACCTTGTCTGTAGATCCTGCAGCAGCATAAACAAATAGAGATGCACAATATATCAGGTAACATCCTAGTATCAGCTAAGGTTTGTTAAAAATTAAGATATTGGTCTGATGAGTCTGTCTTGGTTGATATTGCTGGGCAACATTTAGACTTTTGTAAATAGTCAAAGATAGCAGCACCATAGCTAATGATATAACTACGATATTGGAAATGGTCACATTAGACAATCAGCCATTTTTCATAGTGGAGGATGAAGGATTTCGTCAGTTTATTCAGGTCTCAGTCTACTGGCCCACAACATGTTTATAGTTTATTATTAAACCTGGCTCAGGGATCAATCTTTCCATTTCCACAGATGATAAAAAATGACGTGACGTTGCACAAGCTTGCCAGTTATCAGTTATCAGTAGTATTAATTAAGAAGAATTTCCATCTGGGATTAATGAAGTTCTAATCTAATATATTGCACAAAAATCTATCGGAAGTAGTCAAAATATCCACAATAGCGCACCACTAGCGACAAACCTCATATTTCCGCTCCACGCCTCAAACACCTCTGATTTCCTTTTTAATTACAGATAGCTTATGGAACTATCCAGTGCTTAAATCCATTGTATTACTTATTTAAACTCAGTGTGTCATTTCCTGCAGCTTATGTCGTGATATGGAACATGGCAGGTGAATAAGTAGCTGTATTAGTTACAAACCTCAGGGGTTTAAACCCTAACCCTATAGGACATGATATCTCTGTACGACAAAGCACCGAGCGGCAGCTTTGTTTGCTGAATGGAATTTTAATTTAAATGTTTCTTTTCATTGTGTTATCAGGATCAGGAGAAATTATCTTTTCCACTCTTTGGTTGTTTTATTCTAAATCTTTTCAATCTTCTAGAAGATGTTTGAAATGAATGGTTCAATTAACCAGCACCTGGACTAATATTGTATGAGGAAGGTGGTTCCCAGAAGCCAGTTCTGATGTTCCTCAGGGACCCGTTCTGGGACTGCTGCAATGTGCTTGTGTAGCTCATCGGGAGGCAGAGGGAACAATTGTGCTTGTAGAACGCCCCCGATTTAAATGTCAGCCAGAATAATCTGCTTTCTGAAAGGTCTGCTGCCCCCTATCTGCCAGGGTTCATCTACACGGGCGACGTGGTGCACCGCATGCTGACTGCCACCCAGTTCATCGCCCCACTCATGGCCAACTTTGACCCCAGCGTGTCCCGGAATTCCACGGTCATCTACTTTGACAATGGTAAGCGCCAAAATGCCATCTACCGGAATGTTCCATCTGGATCAGAGGATTTATGGTAATTACAGCCACATTATTTTGTTAGTTCTTTATAGGTATAATTGCATATTTTAATTGCATTGCTTGCTCTACAATTCCCAGAGTGGCCTTTAGTGTTTATTTTTTTATAACAAAATTAATGTGTAATTTTAAGTGCTGCAGGGATAATAAATATTATGTTTAATGAATGGTTTGGGTATACGAAAGGTAGAATTTCCAGAACCTTCACATGGTAGTTCCACATCAGATTGTCACACTGGAAAGAAAGGGTAATTGTTTTCATAAAGGGATGCCTTGTATGAAAAATGAGACCGGTGGGGGTGAGGGGATGCTGGAGTGGGGGGGGGTGTGAGGGCGAGGGGGACGTCACAAAGCCACCTGTGATACAAATGCAGCTCACTTACGATACACAGCATCCCAAGAACAGCCTGAACGGCCAAGGTTCTTATATGCATATATACCGTAGGCCAATTGGCCGAGGTTCTTATATGCACATATACCGTAGGCCAATTGGCCGAGGTTCTTATATGCATATATACCATAGGCCACATCCCCTACAGCCATACATATTTAAAAAAAAAAAAAACTGAGGAGCAGATAGATATCACATAAATGCAGCCACCGCAGTTTGTGGCGTTTATTCCATTTTCACATTTATCTACAAAATGAGTTTGGGATCATTTATTCATTTAAAATCCTTTTTAATTACTTCATCACAGCCTACTGCAACCATGCAAGAACTGAAGGGATCGACTAACACAGATAAAGAGAGAATATACATGCAACAACTCCAGGGATCGATAAACGCAGATAAAGGGAGAATATTCGAGAACCCAAGCCTCAGTTTCATAAATAGGACATTGGGGGTGAGGGGGTGATAAGGGTTCCTGTTTTATGCCCTCCCCTCTTGCACGGCAGTGGTTTAATGTCCAATTGTCTCGCCGGCATTTCGTGGCCTGTTGAGTAGTTAGTGGGGGTCTTAGTTCAGCCCTATAGCTGAACATATAAATGGCAAAGTAAGAATGAGAGTGGTGGTCATGCCTGTACCTGTGACGGGTGGGTCTTTTGTGGGTGACTGCCTAGGTGGCACTGTGATACGGACCTTCACTCCACGCATAATAAGTAGGTTTACAGAGATAGTTTAAACCAAGCTTTGCGCTGGTGCTTAAGTTTATGGCTGCCTGAGGGGTGACAGGACAAGGCCGATTGTAGCCGCCACTGTCGTCAACGGCAACCACGCTACCCCTGTAATGTCCTGCACGTCACAGTTCATCACTGATCCATCCTCCAGGATGACTGTGATTCGTTACTCAAAAACTTGCCTGTTACAGATCCTCGTCTGGGCCCTGAAATGTTTTGCATATTGGTATTTTTATTTTTTAAGATCATTCCCGGCAGCTCGCTGGCGATGGAACCCAGTGCTAGTCCCCAGTGTCAACACCACACAGGCTGCTTCAAAATTTGGCTGCAAGAACCAAGAGCAGAATCTTAACTGTGGCAGCAGTTCTGATTGGCCCAATTGTCATCCCCTAGGCACGGCTTTGGTGGTCCAGTGGGACCATGTCCATCTCCAAGACAACTACAATCTAGGAAGCTTCACCTTCCAGGCCACACTACACAGCAATGGAAGGATTGTGTTTGCGTACAAGGAGGTGATTGTCGTCTTCCTGTCTCCCTTTCTCAAACTTCCTGTCTCCCTCTCTCACACTTCCTGTCTCCCTCTCTCAAACTTCCTGTCTCCCTCTCTCAAACTTCCTGTCTCCCTCTCTCACACTTCCTGTCTCCCTCTCTCACACTTCCTGCTTACTTCTCTTTCTCTTGCATTAGAACATAACCTCGTGTTATTCTTACATGTCATGTTGGGATAAAGGCCTTTTTGCAAGGCCGCTTGCATGAGTATCCACGCAAATATAATTTAAGCCGCACCCTAGAGGCAAATACCACCACGGTAAATCGCTTGCGTAATCCTCTAATTATTTAGGAGGAATCCAGCGATTCTGTTTGAAATGGATTTGAAAAGTGAACAGACTTGTATTAAAAGAAAAACTTTTCCTTAAAGTCAGTGTTTAGTCAACTGGCTGGAAAATGAATTTAGTGAATGATTTCAGGCATTAAAATACTACTTGATCTCTTCTTCTCTTTTTTTCATAATCCAGTTTTGATCCAAAATAACCGTGTACATATACCTCACCCCTGGCTGGATTACGGTTTAAGCCAAGGGCCCTGGGGCCTTAGAGGGGCCTCGAGCCAAGGCTCCCACCTTGTGAAGACAGTCCTTGGTCATTTTTAGATTGTCATCCTGTAGACTGGCTTTGGCCACGTTTGTTTTTGGGGTCCCAAGTCCCCTTCGGTTCCTTAGGTTTGTGCCCTGTACTACCTGAGATAGGTTCCAGGTGCCCCATGTCTCTGAACAGGATAAGTGACTGAAATACGGATGGGTCTTATTTAGATATTTGGAAATTAATTTGAAGTGTTGTGCAAAAAAAAAGTTATTATAACACTGACTTGTACAGTCTGGACACACTTGCTTTGCAAGTCAGAAAATGTTTATTATCTTGAAGGAAATTGTTTAATGCAGTGTTTCTCAACTGGTGGGTCATGACCCAAAAGTGGGTCACACGACCATTGTTGGCACCTCTTAAGTCACATCTGCGGCATTGTGTGTTAAAAATACTCAGAGTGCTTACTAATACATATTGTTTTAAAGTTTAGATTCTTCTGAGAGAAAGGAGGTCAAACACTACTTTCTACAATAACATTTATCTTCAGATAATCGCTGCTAAAGTGAAGGATCGCTGAATATCTTATCATCACCATACTACTGTAGCTTTTCCTGGTTTGTCTCTTCGTTTACGGCCAAAAACACTCATTGCCATTGGTAGCTGAGTGAAACATGATTATATTGATGGCATACAGTAGGTGTTAACGGTAACACTGAATTGGCACTGTAATCTGTTTTACGAAATTTATGTATAAAAGTGCTTCATTCGCCTAGCGATAATGTACATGTGGTGCAATCTGACGCCGCTGTTTAAGCTACGCACCCGCTGGTCATTTAGGTTATAACATCGACTGTCGTGGTATCATAGTGCTTGTATCCAAGTGACCCCTTTTTTAATAACTGTTTTATTTTATTATTAGTTACTGTTTTGCTGTCTTATTGTGTGTCATTGATAAATGAAACTTTATCATAAGTATGTATATGCATGAAAAGCAAGTTATATATGGTGTTTGCTGCTACTCTCAGTTTATTTGCAGTAGGCACTACTCTACTCATTCTTGAAGCTGGTTTTGCATCAAGAACAGCAGGATGGCACAAAGAAATGGTTTTATTATTTATTAGGTTTGCTCTTTAAAATCAGACACAACAATGCAAAAAAGGGACATTAACAGTGCAAAATGCTTCAACTTTTTTCAACATGACAAACACTATGTGTGGATGGAGTGTTGTTTCACATGTTGGACAATGACACAAAATTCAGCCTAAGGACCAGTCTTGAACAGTGACTGAGATCTACTGTTTGAGGGTTTTATCATCAGTGTTTAGTCTCAGGATCTTTAAACTCGATGCTAACACTTCTTCCTCACATTTTAAAGAGTTATATATGAGACACTTGGTATTCTTTCAACCAGCTTCCAGATGCAGTGACCTGAAATGCTTCTCTCACAGTCCTGAAGCAGTTCCCACAAGTTTTCAGTAAAATTAAGTTTTCAATCCAACTCATTCTATACCTATATATACCTATTCTGTAGGGTTTAGATCAGGTGGATTGTGGGGGGGCAGGTTGTCTGTCACAACACTCCGTCTCTTTCCTTGTTCACAAAATAATAAAGTAGTTACATAACCTCGAGATGTGCTTAGTGATGTGTGTCCAACCTTTTGACTGACATATGGAAATAGATTTAAATCGTTCGGGAAAAAAATGAATTGCAAATTAGAAATCATATTTTTATATGTATAACTTTACCTGTAGGCAATGAATTTGCAAGCACACTTCTACTGTGACATTTAGGACAACAGATTCACACATTCAGTTCGTTCTCACTCTAGGTTTACAGATTCTCATTTTACAAGAGTAGTTTAGACAATTTATAGCCGCTAATGCGCAATTCATTCATAGGCGTAGGTTGAAAAACATCTACAGTAATCGTTCTTAAATGTCACAACGGTCTCATAATTTTATGAAACACAAATCCATATTAAGGTTTGGAGAATATGTAACCATTGCTCTCAGTTCTCACACATTGACCGTGAGACCGCATTTCAAGCAGTTCACACGCTCACACGCCACACCTTGTATTTCTCAGGCTAAGAAATAAGGGATAACGCCCACCATGGTGTCCCGATGTATAGAATTACTGGACCAGGCGCAGGTATATGGAGTGGAATTTTCCGCCGAGTTCGTAAGATGTCTCGATTGAGTTAGACAGAGTTAATATCAATAGCCACCTACCAGCCAATCAGAAAATAGCATTTGTTGCATGTGACCCCGCTGCAGGCACGTTATTACATGGATGCACGTACATACGGAGTGCAGACGAGGTGGAAGTGGCAGAGTAAGATTCACTGGATACGGTAGGCAGGGCTCTAAAGTATCACGCCTTGGCCGTCAGACACACGCTGCGCCTCTAACAGACGTAATCTGACTCCAAACTTTTGATGGAACTTGAGAGCCCAGATGTAACTCTACCTGCCGCATGCGTTTCATGAGTACACTGTACAGTCCTTATTTTTAGGGTGACCAGATAATCCATGTCAGGGAGGACACTTTGAGCTACCTCAGGTTTTACAAACTACTTTCAAACTGAAAGGCTCCTGTGCTCGGCTAAATAGTTCAACTATTCTTGTGCTTTGACTGGTTTGTTTCCTTGACTGAAAGACTCATCCAGCTGTTTCACATTAGCATTAGTGACACATGCATAATTTTAGGAGACTGAC